AACGTTTCAGAAAAACAGAGAGAAATGTTGAGCCTCTGAAAAATACCAGCGGATTTATGCTTTATTACTACAATCAGTTGACACTAAAACAGTTTTAGAAATAAACCGGCAAAACTCAGTCAAACTAAATGAAATCTAAATGAAATCTGTTATCATCGAGATGAATGAACTAAGTACAGACAAGTTTTTAAATACAAACGCATGTTCCACTATACAGTAGATTCCTCCGGCGTTTTTATACTAGCTTAGTTAGTGTCAACACTAGTTTTCCTATACAATAGCTTCCTTGGGCGTATTTACACTAACTGAGTTAGAAGCAACACCTGTTTCACTATACAATAGCTTCCTCAGGCGTATTCAAACGTAGTTAGTATGATAACGCCTGATGGAGCTATTGTATAGTGAAACGCGTGTTGCCGTTTTGTGAACTTTACAGGTAAAATCTCGCAATGAGGTATTACTTAATTTGGTTGTAATATCTAACAGTTTCATTTCGAATTTTTCACATTTTAGGCGCATGCATACCAACTGAGTTAGCATCAACATGAGTTTCACTATATAGCTTTTTGGTGCGTATTCATACTAACTGAGTTGGTATCAATTTGTGTTTCACCGTACAATAGCTTCCTCGGGCGTATTCATACCGAGTTAATACGAGCACGCCTAATGAAGCTATTCTATAGTGAAACACCTCTGTAATTCTGTTAACTGTTTAGTGAAAATCTGGCAATAACGAATTACTTAAATTTGTGGGCATATTCATACTAACTGAGATATTATCAACGTGATTCACTAAACGAAAACTACAGGCTCATTTATAGTATCTTCGTTGGTATTAACACGTGTTTCCCTGTATAATAGCTTCCTTGAATGTATTCATACTGACTGAGCTAGTATCAACTTGTGTTTCACTATACAAAAGCTATACAATAGCTTTCTCGGGCGTATCAAAACTAACTAAGTTAGTATCAACACGTTTTTTACTATGCAAAAGCTTCTTTAGGCGAATTCATACTAGCACGGTTATTATCAACGAGTGATTCATGATACAATAGCTTTAGCGAATTCATGCTGAGTAGTGTCAACACGTGTTTCACTATACAAAAGCTTCCTCAGGCGTATTCACACTAACTCATTATCAAAACGTGTTTTTCTATACAATAGCTTCCTCGTGGGTATTCAAACTGATTCATTATGAGCACGTCTGAGGGAGCTACTGCATGGAAAATCACGTGTTGTGATTTTGTTAACTGTTTAGTGAAAATCTCGCAATGAGAAATTACTTGAATAAGTGAATATCCAACAACTTCATTTTCAATTTTTAGAATTTCAGGCATATTCATACTGACTGAGATAGTATCAATACTTGTTTCATCATACAAAAGCTGCCTTGGGCGTATTCATATTAAGTTAGTTTGAACACGCCTGAGGAATCTATTATTCAATGAAACATGTGCTGTTTTCATCTCATAACTTATTGTAATTGTATTGTAATTTGACTCATATCCCTATTGTGTATTTTGGTATGATCTCTAGAACAGTGTATAAATAAATGAATAAATGTGTTGCGATTCCGTCTAAAAACTCTCAATGAGAAATTACTTGAATTGGTTGGCGAATATTTCTGAATATCCAACAATTTCATTTTCAATTTTCCACATTTCAGGCGTATTCATATCAACTGAGTTAGTATCAACACGTGTTTCATTAGACAAAAGCTTCTTCAGGCGTTTTTCTACTCGCTTAGTCTGTATCAACGCGTTTTACATCACAGAAAAGCTTTCTCGACCATATACATACTGACTCAGTTGGTATCTACATCTGTTTCGCCATACAATGGCTTCTTCGTTCATTTTCAACCCTTATCTGTACCTACCAATCGATTTTTGTGGTGGAATACTGGATCAGGTATGTTGAAACTCATTAGGGTTGTTATGTAGAGTGATATAAGAGGGTTCTTATCAATTTTTAGGTGACTTCCCTTTTTTCTGAGTAATTTTCATCTTTGCCGATTAAAATGGTCCAAGGTCATTTGCAAATCAGTGCCATCCAATATTTGTTGGACCTCAGGCAGAAAAAGGCTATTCGTTTTGGGAGTGCCCCAAGGTTCTGCGTTGGACCCGATTTTTATAAATATTGATCATCATCAATGATTTCACTTGAAGTATTGAGGATATTTCAGTTCAGTTGATGTTAAAGTAGTTTTCCTGCGTAATATCGAAACTTATTTTATATAAAAACAGTTCTATAAAGTGGTGGGTAGTATAAAATGTTAGCTCCTCTGATCATTAGACAAGAAAGAAAATGGTATGATATCTATCGGTTTATAGAATACAATTTCCCTGAACCTACAGAAAATGAGCATATCCTTTGAAAATTTTCTTTTCAGGAGGATTTCACAAACAAGGACATACACAAAAAATGTTGGAGTGAACACTTACACGAACGTGAAAAATTACACTTGGGATTGTGACGGTCAACTTTTAGGAGTTGAGGCCCAAGAACCATGGGGCTTCAGATACGATGATAATGGAAACATGCTCTCATTGACATACAGGTTGGTGTATAACTGATGAAATTCAACAAAACGCCGATTCAAAATACCTATATTTCAGGGGAAACACAATACCCATGGAATACAACGTTATGAACAGGATAATCAAATTCGGAGAAGGGCAATACAAATACGACAGTAGGGGATTAGTTATACAGAATGCCAGAGAAGAAAAATTCCACTACAACGCCAAAGGATTGCTCGTTCGTGCAACTAAGAGAGGCAGATTTGATGTTCGATATTTCTATGACCATATGGACAGGTGAGTTGAATTACAGTGTTTTTGAAACGAGAAATGCGAACCCTTCCGTTAGAGATCCTCGAAATGACTTTATTGAAAGTTGTTACAACAATTTTACATCTCAAGCAAGAATAACCAGTTTGATATTCGCGTAAGGGTCCGAAAGAACAGTTCACGAAGTTCTTGTGGAATTTCATTATTTTAGATCACAAAAAAATGTCCCATTCGCGAAATCTATATTGACACAACGAATTCCTTCTTTCAATTCAATTCATTTGTGCCTGCCATGTTGCGGCTGAAAGACTACTTACTCTCTATACAAACTAATAGGATTAGTGGAGAAGCTGTATTCATTTGATCGAGTATGAATAGGTGTGACTCAATAAACCCTTGCGGGTGGCGGTGGAGAGTCGAATAGATCAACTCACTTTTGACCTAACCTAACCTACATATTTCTGCTAGGAAAAACATAAGAGAAACAGATCAATTAGCGGCGAAACTGAAAATGAAAAAAAATGAGACGCTTGAATTCGATTGAAAAATATAATTAGAAAAACGAGTAAAAACAAAACAAGTTTATATCTCGTATACATTAGGCCGTTTGCTTGTTTTCATCACACCGCGATCGGTTAAAATTGACAATTGGGCCCCAAATTCATATGTACCCAAAGGCTAGAGTGTTTATAACTTCANGACTGTACTTTCTGACCTTTCTCAACGATTTGGTTTTCATCTTCTCAATCGTCTTGAACGCCACCCTTTCATGGAAACAGGAAAAAGTTGCCGGGTGCCAAATCTGTTGAATACAGTGGTTGAGACTTGATTACGGTGATTTATTATGAAAACAAATGAACTATTTTATCTTCATTTGTTTCAGGCGCAACTTCAATGGCCGACAGGTCTAGCCTTGAGTCCTTTGGACGGTTCCCTTCATTTCGTGGACGACAGATTAATCTTGAAGTTAACGGCAGATCTGAAAATCAAAGTGGTAGCGGGAACGCCTCTACATTGCCACAGGGAAGACAACAGCACGAACAACGAAGATATACTGGGTACTGTTCTGGCGTTGACCTTCGCTTCCAATGGTGATCTATACATCGCTGAATCAGATTCTCACAGTGTTTACTATGTTAGAACTATAGATACATCTGGTGAGTGAGACAATATTTGTCTAAATATCGTTGACAATGTTTATTTTTGATTATTGGAGATTGAGTCTTCGAATATATAAAGAATGTTAACAGATTTCAAATATATTATACATTTCTGGAAGGAGTAGACGGCATCATTTTCCCTTACGAAGTCTAGAAAAGGAGTCTCAATTCGCGAATGGCAATGATAGACTAGGCTCCCAAAGGCGGTTAGTTAAAAAACCAAGCTCCTACATCAACCGCCAAATGATATTTGTCTTCTGTCCTGCACTGCAGATTCCACTGCAAAGCAAGTAGTTGAAACTAGAGCTCAAAAACAAAACATTCGTGATCCATAACAACCAGCGCTGTTTTGAGTCAACCGATTTGAGTGTTTGGTCACCTATCTTGTGTTTCATATGATCTTTAACACATTTTGTTTGGTTTATATTGCCGAAGAACATGACACGGCATTTGCCAGGATTCACCTTCAAATTGTGTTTGTTCGACAGAGTGTTTATAACTTCAAGGTCATCATTTATTTGATTTTGGGACGCTAAAATATTATCAGATCTGATACTATGATATAACTGAATGTCGTCGGCAAATGCTTGTATCTGACAATGTTCAATATCTGCAGTGTATGACAAAAATAGGAGAGGACAAAGAATTGAACCTTGAGGTACTCCTGATATAACACTTTCAAGGGATGAACTTCCATCATCAACATGTAACTTTCGATATCGGTTGTTCAAATAATAATTCAAAAAATTTATGACACTGGCTGAACATCCATAATATTTGAGCTTGGAAAGAAAGAATTTGTGCTTTCCTAATGAATTTATTGATCTGTTCGCTGTTGAAGACTTCTGATTCCTTCACTCTATAACCAACATTTTTCCTTTGAAGAAATGATCTATGATTATGACCTCTCAGGCCGTAAGTATACTGTAGCAGCATTCGGAGTTTCGTAAAGCACATTTTCAAACTCACTATCGCTGCTTTTCATAGTATATTGCGATAATTGCGAGCAAAAATAAATCGAACTCAAAAAATACAAATGTCTACTAATTGTTGCCGAAAAATTACTTTTGTCAATATAAAATGATAAATTTTGTTGGTCCTGAGTTTTGACTCTTTGAAACATCTGATTTTTCATCTCGAAACAAAAAAGTTATCGATTATCACAATTTTTCAGGTAAAATAACCCACTTTGCCGGCAAAATCCCCGACAAATCGAAAAAGACCTGCGAATGCCCGCTAAACCTGACCACAACCAACCCCTTGGGCCGAAATCAAGACCAATCCCCATCGCCGACTTGTGCCTGCAGCTTCACTGAGGAAACAACTAGCAACGCCGAAACGTTGCTGGCGTCCAACGCCCGCTTCCAATCGATCTCAGCCTTGGCCGTCTCTCCCGGCGGAGTCCTTCACGTCGCCGATCAAGGATCGCTGCACATATTATCCTTGGAGCATTACTTGCCGACTCACGACGAGAATGGGGAGTTTCGAATTCCTTACCCCGCTGCCGGGGAGGTGTATGTTTTTAATAGGTACGGACAGCACGTGGCGACGAAGGACCTCGCTTCGGACAAGACGAGATATACTTTCCTCTACTCGAAGAATACCAGTTTCGGCAAATTATCCACAGTTACTGATAGCTCCGGTAATAAAATCCAGTTCTTGAGGGATTACAGCAACGCTGTTAGTTCCATAGAGAACACTCAAGACCACAAGTCGGAGCTGAAGATCAACGGGGTCGGGTATTTGGTTAAACTGAGCGAAAAAGGACGGGCTGATATCGATCTGGATTACGACATGAATACGGGGTTGCTTTTGAGTCGTTCTGGGGTGAGTATCCATTGGATAATATTATTTGAGTTGAATTTACAAGTTCACGTATTTTCCATTTTTTCAAAATGCCTTTTTTACTTGATTTATCTCGAAAATCATAGTGTGAAGTGATTTTTTAAACATCTACATCAAAGTATACCTCTCTCAATACAGAAAAATTTCGAAAATACTTTCCAGTTAATTTTTCTATGCCATTGAAAAAGTGATTGAGTAGTTATTAACTCACTCTGAAATAAAGCAGTTTTGAAATTTTCAGTGGCCCAGACAAATGAACCGTACAGTAACTTTGACATTGTTTGTATCAACAGAGATCAACTACAATTGAGAGTACAGAATAACACCCAAATGACGTCAGTGAGCCGCCATATTTGATTTGGAGAAAATATTATATCGTTGAAAAGATAATTGTCATATCCTACCAAATGGTCAAGGGAAATATTCAGAGTTCTATTCGGAATTTTCAAACTGGGTTCATTTTTCATCGGAAATCTACACTATAATAGTTCCGAGTATCAAATTTTCACCTAACAAACAACTGAATGGCACCGTGTGCATGTTAGTTCCTCTATTCATTATTCGTTTTTGAAGAGTTTCGACGGGTAAAAAAGCTGTGAGCTTGAACTTTAGTTCTTGATGAAAATGAAACTATAAAGTGCACCTGTGCCAATCCTTGGAATATCACCAGTTCCATATATTCTTGTAATATAAAATTCATTCTCTCGAAAGCAGGGTGTACTAGACCACTCTCATCATAAAATGAAAACATCTGATGTCATTCAAACTATATTGTAATATAAAAGTCACACTTTTATATGCAAAATGTACTAAACCATTTTCATCATGAAATGGAAACATTTGTTGTCATCCAAACTATATTGTAAATTGTAATATAAAATTCATACTCTAGTATGCAAAGTGTACAAGACCACTCTCATCATAATGGAAACATCTGATGTCATCCACCAAACTATCTTGTATTATAAAATTCATACTCTTGTATGCAAAGTGTACTAGACTATTCTCATCATGGAATGGAAACATCTGCTACCATTCAAACTATATTGTAACCAGCCAACTTTCTTTTCCAGGGTACCGAAACTTACATTTACGAGTACGATTGGTTAGGAAGAGCCACAGGAGTGATACTGCCCAGCGGGGAAACCCTGAGACTTGGAGCCATGATATCCAGCGGCGGAAGTCTGAAGATATCTGTCAGTGAACCATCAACTGTTTTGAGTGTGTATGGAAAAAGAAACAAACACGTGTTGATAATTGACAGTGAGTATACTTTTTATCATCAACGGTTTTCGGAAATGTTAAGCTGACAAATATATATGTGTAGTCAACATGTAACTTTCAAAGGAATAATTTCCTTCTTCAAATAAAACTACTAGTGTACACAACTTGAAACCCAACTGAATCAAATCGAATTTCATTTGAAGTGAAATTAGAATTCTTTTCTTCACTTTTTAAGAAAAAAACTGAGTGTTAAACAAAAACCACGTACAATTGATTGTATTATATTAACAGTCCATTTCGACAGACAAATTGGTTCTTTCCTGATCTACTTTTGTTTCTTAACAATTATAATTTACCGAAGGTATGGAGGTGAATTTTAATTTTTGTCAAAAAATATTTATTAATTCATCAATTTCCATTTTGTCCTCTCAAAGATATAATACATTGTGCTACAAAAAATATGTCTTTCAAAGTATAAATCAAAAAGTCGTTTTTATTCATTGAATCAATTTTTTTCCGTAGATATATAATACCTCATTATATATCTCTTCAGTTTAGTGGCAGAATAATTGTTCTTCAGGTATTCTAAGGTTTCAATTCAAAAGTAAAGAGAAATGGATTTTCATCAGCTCTTCTGTCTATTCGAAAGATTTCTAATAGTTTCATTTTACTGTGAGGTTCTCATGTCACTTAGAATTGACAGTATCAGATATTTTCGACTGTTTGTATGCATTTTTTCTCAAATAAATTGAAATACTCATGTATGTTTTGAACAATAAATCAATGGCAATCATTTCAGTAGATGGTTCTGGAAATGACAAATTGTAAATACATTTGTGAAGTTTTCAAAGGCTTTGAAGTCGATTGTGTGACAATATGCCAAACAGAAAACGAATACTTAAGTTTTGAATACGTAAAAGACAAATAAATTATTTTTAAATACTCCAGTTATGAGACAGATCTTAACCTATATGAAAATATCTCACTTTCTATTCGATTTTGCAATTCACTTATATTTCTATCAAAATATATCAAAATTGAGTCATCCGCTAATAATTCAACATTCAAATTTCATTTTGATGTTGAATTCATGTAAATCAGAAAAAGGGTAAGCCCAAAATAGACCCTTGAGTTTCGCCACATGGAATGCTTCTCATCTGGGATTTGAATTGAAACTCTTTGAAATTCTTTTCTTTCAGATGAATAATTTTGTAACCAGATGAAATCTTTAACTCTGATGCCAGTTTTTTTCAATTATTTGAGTTGAATTATATTATTTACTATATCAATATCACTAGACTTGCGAGGGCAACATTGCCCTTAGGTTATAAACCCTAAAAAAACAGTATAAAAAGTTTTTCTTGATATTGTAAAAATCTTTCAGGCGAAGAAAGTTCTTGGTGAAATTTTTGAAAATATGGAAAGTAATGAAATTGGTCTAGAATTATTCATTAAATATTATTTTCCACCTCTGAAAGTTGCTAAAACTTTTGCAACTTTGGGATAAGTCTTCATCAACTGATTTACTAATTCTGATTTCTGTTATTTCTTCAAATCCTGGACATTTTTCATTATCTAAGTCACTGATGATATCTGTTACATCTTAAGCCCTGGTGGTAGATGTTGGCTACTATATTATCTGTATCTAAGTGAAGCCTACACGTTTATGTTATTTGGGATACAGAGTAATTCAGCATTTTTTTGGATTTTTCGAAACACTACAATTGATCGGTTCATTGAGACACTGATTTCACTTTCAGACAAAGAAATTACCGAAGCCGTCTCACTCACGAACTCAACAGTTGCTCTGAACTCCGCCTACGACGCCTTCATGAAAGTCTCCGCCATAGCTCGGCATCCTCTTCTCGAAGCTTCCTTACCTGTGGAGGCTGAACTTCTACCTGTTTGGTCGGAACAGACAGTAGTCTTCGGCGATGGCATTGAAAACACGATGTCCACCTCCTTCAGCCTCGTTGGTGACGTCAGGAACCCTCAGCAAACCCTCTACCGGGAAATCTACGTGAACCGCACTAAAGTTTTGGGCATCGAATTCGACCAGTTCACCAGCAAGGAGACATTTTTTGATCATGACAAGATGCCGTTGCTCACCATTACATATGATCCGGCTGGATTACCACTTCTGTACACCCCTTACAATGGAGCTGATCCGTTGAACATCACTTACGACAATTTCAATAGGATCGACAGCTGGAAATGGGGGGTTTCTGAGTTGAAGTACAGCTACGACAGGCATGGTTTGCTCTCTGAAGTAAGCAGCCCTCTGGATGGAACCAGAATATACACCTACGACGACACCAACATGCTGTCCAAGATCACTTTGGCTAGCCAGAGGAGCTTCACTTTGAGCTACGATGATGACGGGGGTCTGCGGCATGTAACCTTGCCCAGCGGTACTAAACATTCCTTCAGTCTTCAACCGACCATGGGATTCCTGAGAGCTACCTACACTCCTCCTGGCACTACCAGATCCTACCTGCAGCATTTCCTCCATTCTGGCAGGCTTCTGCAGACCATCTTTCCCGGAGAAGGAGCTAGACTGGTGTATCGCTACTACGACAATGGTAGACTCAAAGAGGTAGTTCATGGTGATGGAAAGACAATGTACCAGTATTCAGAAACTTCTGGGCTACCCAGTCAGGTCAACCACGTAGAGCAAGATCTGGAATATAGATGGGACTACCAGTTTGTAGGCGGTTTGCTAGTGGAAGAACGAATAGACTTTGGAGCAAAAACTGGTTTGAGTAACGCCAAGTTCACGTACGATTACGACAACAACTATAGACTAGTAAGTGTACAGGGGAGAATCGGTGGGCAAAATTTGCCGCAGAATAATCTGGCGTACAATTACAAAACTGGTGCTCTGGAAACGACTGGGCCGTTCAAGATAATCAAGCCAAGAGTGAACGAGACAAATATCTATGATGGCACTGCTCTGTTCTCGAGTACCATTGACTCCAGGTTCCTGGAAACAAGAGTGGCTCTTGTCATTCATAGTATGGAGGTGTTCAGAATGGAGTTTAGTTACGACATGCATGGGTGAGTTTCTAGTATAAAGTATATAAAAATAAGGCCACAATTGAAACAGGATACTTTGATGTTTACTGAAAATGTATTGATTGTTTCACATTTTTATATTGTTTGGCCATTTCGTTTCTGTTCCTTCCTCTTAATAATGTATAAAATTATTTCAAAATCGAATATGTTTCAGAGGAAAATTTCTTGTCTATTTATTAATGAACATAACTATTATGAGGAATTTTTCATGATCACAAAGTCACATTTTCAGTTATTTTGTGCAGTTTGGACGATAGTATACGTCCAATGTGTGTTTTGTTCAATCTGACCTCGCTGGCTTTATTTTTGTCTTTTAGTACAGGATGACCAAACTGTGATGATGACTCTGACGAGAATATAAGCAGTATGAATTATTTGTAGTTGTTGTTTGATTCAAGATTGTTGAAGTTCCTCAATCATTTCCATTTTTGTTTTTTTCTGAGTAATTTTCATCTTTGCCGATTAAAATGGTCCAAGGTCATTTGCAAATCAGTGCCATCCAATATTTGTTGGACCTCAGGCAGAAAAAGGCTATTCGTTTTGGGAGTGCCCCAAGGTTCTGCGTTGGACCCGATTTTTATAAATATTGATCATCATCAATGATTTCACTTGAAGTATTGAGGATATTTCAGTTCAGTTGATGTTAAAGTAGTTTTCCTGCGTAATATCGAAACTTATTTTATATAAAAACAGTTCTATAAAGTGGTGGGTAGTATAAAATGTTAGCTCCTCTGATCATTAGACAAGAAAGAAAATGGTATGATATCTATCGGTTTATAGAATACAATTTCCCTGAACCTACAGAAAATGAGCATATCCTTTGAAAATTTTCTTTTCAGGAGGATTTCACAAACAAGGACATACACAAAAAATGTTGGAGTGAACACTTACACGAACGTGAAAAATTACACTTGGGATTGTGACGGTCAACTTTTAGGAGTTGAGGCCCAAGAACCATGGGGCTTCAGATACGATGATAATGGAAACATGCTCTCATTGACATACAGGTTGGTGTATAACTGATGAAATTCAACAAAACGCCGATTCAAAATACCTATATTTCAGGGGAAACACAATACCCATGGAATACAACGTTATGAACAGGATAATCAAATTCGGAGAAGGACAATACAAATACGACAGTAGGGGATTAGTTATACAGAATGCCAGAGAAGAAAAATTCCACTACAACGCCAAAGGATTGCTCGTTCGTGCAACTAAGAGAGGCAGATTTGATGTTCGATATTTCTATGACCATATGGACAGGTGAGTTGAATTACAGTGTTTTTGAAACGAGAAATGCGAACCCTTCCGTTAGAGATCCTCGAAATGACTTTATTGAAAGTTGTTACAACAATTTTACATCTCAAGCAAGAATAACCAGTTTGATATTCGAGTAATGGTCCTAAAAAACAGTTCACGAAATTCTTGTGGAATTTCATTATTTTAGATCACAAAAAAATGTCCCATTCGCGAAATCTATATTGGCACAAAGAATTCCTTCTTTCAATTCAACTCATTTGTGCCTGCCATGTTGCGGCTGAAAGACTACTTACTCTCTATACAAACTAATAGGATTAGTGGAGAAGCTGTGTGAGTCATATGTATGAATAGGTGTGACTCACAATAAACCCTTGCGGGTGGCGGTGGAGAGTCGAATAGATCAACCCACTTTTGACCTAACCTAACCTACATATTTCTGCTAGGAAAAACATAAGAGAAACAGATCAATTAGCGGTGAAACTGAAAATGAAAAAAAAATGAGACGCTTAAATTCTATTGAAAAATATAATTGAAAGAACGAGTAAAAACAAAACAAGTTTATATCTCGTATACATTAGGCCGTTTGCTTGTTTTCATCACACCGCGATCGGTTAAAATTGACAATTGGGCCCCAAATTCATATGTACCCAAAGGCTAAGTCGGTCCTGACTATAAAATATCATGAATCTATTTCCAAGCTACCAAAACTTACAAGGTGCTGTCGCATAAGTGCGCAATTCAATTCAAAGCTGCAATTTATAAAATCCTTGGAGTTACACCACCTATTAAGGAACACATATTTCTCCTCCGCAGAAGGTTATAATTTCAAACGGGGCCCCAAATTCATAGGTACCTAAAAGCTAAGTCGGTCCTGAGTATAAAATATCTTGAACCTATATCCAAGCCACCAAAACTCACAAGCTGCTGTTTCATAAGGACCCAATTCAATTCAAAGCTGCAATTTATAAAATCGGGGGTTACACCATCTATTAAGGAACACATATTTCTCCACTGCAGTAGATTATAGTTTTCAAGGGGGCCCCAAATTCATATGTACCCAAAGGCTCAGTAGGTCCTGAGTATAAAATATCTTGAACCTATTTCCAAGCGACCGAAACTCACAAGCTGCTGTTGCATAAGGTCCCAATTCAATTCAAAGCTGCAATTTATAAAATCTGGGGTTACATCACCTATTAAGGAACACATATTTCTCCGCCACAGTAGGTTATAATTTTCAAGGGGGCCCCAAATTCATATGTACCCAAAGGCTGAGTAGGTCATGAGTATAAAATATCTTGAACCTTTTTCCAAGCGACCGAAACTCACAAGCTGCTGTTGCATAAGGTCCCAATTCAATTCAAAGCTGCAATTTATAACATCTGGGGTTACATCACCTATTAAGGAACACATATTTCTCCGCCGCAGTAGGTTATAATTTTCAAGGGGGCCCCAAATTCATATGTACCCAAAGGCTGAGTAGGTCCTGAGTATAAAATATCTTGAACCTATTTCCAAGCGACCGAAACTCACAAGCTGCTGTTGCATAAGGGCCCAATTCAATTCAAAGCTGCAATTTATAAAATCTGGGGTTACATCACCTATTGAGGAACACATTAATTCATATGTACCCAAAGGCTGAGTAGGTCCTGAGTATAAAATATCTTGAACCTATTTCCAAGCCACCAAAACTCACAAACTGCTGTTGCATAAGAGCCCAAATCAATTTATAGAATCGGGAGGCTAAATCACCTATTCAGGAACACATTTTTCACATATTAATGAATGCATACCTCAATTTCAGACTTTCAGCGAGAAAAGATAATTTCGGGAACGTCACCCAGTTTTTCTACAACAATCAACAAAGACCTGGAGAAGTGAGCCAAATATACTCACCCAGAGATGGAAAGCTCATGTCACTGGTCTACGACAAGAGAGGTCATCTGGTATATGCCCAAGTATACCGACATAAATACTACATCGCTACAGACCAGTGTGGAACGCCGATAATGATATTCAATCAGTACGGAGAAGGTATTCGAGAAATCATGAGATCACCCTACGGGCATATCGTGTACGACTCCAACCCTTATCTGTACCTACCAATCGATTTTTGTGGTGGAATACTGGATCAGGTATGTTGAAACTCATTAGGGTTGTTATGTAGAGTGATATAAGAGGATTCTTATCAATTTTTAGGTGACTTCCCTAGTTCATATGACGAATGGTAAGGTGTATGATCCGCTGATAGGCCAGTGGATGTCTCCTCTGTGGGAGAATGTTCTGGAACGGATAGCCAATCCAACACAACTCCATTTGTATAGGTTCAATGGAAATGATCCTATTAATGTCAAACTCGACAGGAAAAGACCTCAAGGTATGTTCTGTTATTCAAAGTTTTGCCTGATATATTGCACTGACACTATTCTTTGATTCCGTTCTGTTCCCTCTTTTCCAAACGTCTTCACCTATATCTGTTGAACGTAACTATAGAAACATTCAATTAGTATGAAATTCAAACCAGAACCAAAATAGAAAGTATTTGTGACACAACATCAAACAACAGAGTTTCAACCTACCAATGGTCTCATTAGTGATGCTAGGTTGAACCATGGATGTATCTAAGGGATGACAAGAAGACTTGAACCACGAATATCAAATATGAACGAGACTTCCATTTCGGGGAGCAAGATAATCTAGCAACTAGGAGTGTCATATTCCAGCATCTGGAATATGACACTCCAGCATCAAAGCATACCAATTCAGGAAGGATTACGTATTACTGTAGACAGTTGAATATGATGCCTGTAAACCTAAATGGAACACAGTGAAATTATATTTGAAGTATTTCAACTCACAATGAAAATTTGTGGAACAGAATTCTGGCATATTTATTACTTAGGTTGAAAACTCAAATTGTCCAATAGTTTCACAGCAGATTCAGCAGCAACTGTATTCCAAAAATATACTCACCACCAATTTTTGAAAAAAGATAACTCATCAGAAAGTAAGCATTTACCATCATGCTGAAAATCCAATGATAACGCAAAGGTGTCCCAACCAAAGAAAGTCGGATCATCCTCAGATCCTCCTTTTGGAAGGGGGATTCTGGTGTCGCAGACAGAATCTGGTCAAGCCATCGTTTCAAGCGTTCCGCCTGCCAACGCCATCTACAGGGATGTTTATACTTCAGTGTTCAACCGCTCGCATTTACTGCCATTTACGTTTGTGGTTCATGGGGCTCAGCAGGATGCCTTCCATTTTGTTAAAGATGAGACCTGGAAAGCTAACGATGACAAAGGTGAGGGTTTTACGTTATTCATTCGGGGTTCAACAGGACCTTTCGTAATTAACTAGTAATGCTCGAAGGTGTGCATTTACTGATAAAACTCCAAATTTTACTCTCAGGTTTTTTATATAGGTCATCGATATCCCATTCGTCGATTTCAATTGAAGAGAAAAAACCAGAGCAGCATTGATACGTTACCCAATACCAACATCGAAAAAATAACGAAATGTCAGGTTGAAACTGCGAATGTAAAGTATCCATTTCATTGATTATTTTTTGTAGATTCATTTCCCTTCTACAACCTTCCAAAATTACTTGGGAAATGAAGTTTTCCTGGTTGGAGATCCATTACAAATTAATGAGTTATCATTGGTTACTCAAAGGGGGTAATCTTTGAGAAGGCTTCGAGAATTGCATATCAATTTTCCATCAGAGAAAGGGTTATTGTCTCCCTCCTTGACAATTATATCAATCTTTCATATTTCTTCGATTTTTTGTGTTTCTGAGTTTTGCGTTTCTGAGTTTTGCGTTTCTGAGTTTTTCAATTAAATAACTGAAGATATTTCAAAGCTACTTAGCTGCCTGATAGGATCTAGATTCAAAATGAACACTGCTCTGACATACCGGAACTGCAGTTTCCTTCTCTTCTCTTTCACCAACCAATTCAGCACATGAGTACTTGAAATTTGAACTAACGTCAGGGCTCTTTTTAGTCCTTTCCAGTTAAGTGCCTTCTGGTCCATTTTCCAAATCTCTCTTGGAACCAAGAAAAACTGAGCCATTTATCGGTTTGATGAAATTAGAATGTTCTACAGAGGCAAATTTCTGAAGATATTGTGCTAGGGATATCTCAAAGATCCCCTTCACAATATCCTCAAATAATTAGATCACCTGGTTCTTTATTATATTCAGTTGTAACTTTTTTGAATGTGGTGTAACCTCCTCTCTAGCTGTCTTCAATTCTACCAAGATATGTTTCTGTTTACGACTTTGGATCTTTTAGGACAGCTGTCTCAATATACTACTATAAAAAAAATTGGAAAGCAATTATTAATAATATGAATAGTAACAGATCATCAGAAAAATTAAATCTTGAGATGAGTCAATAGGGCATAGCAAATAAATTGAATTATTTTTTTCTTAGATATTTCATTTCTTTTTGATCGTTGTTCTTGATTTCTACTTTGGAAGAAGACATAAATAAATCGTATGGTATTCAAGAATAAATACAGCGAGAATCAAATTACCTCCAAAAGTCCAGCAAAGTCTAGCAAAGGGACAGTTCCTCAATTCAAAGATGCCAGCTGATGGGAGTTCTGTAAATACATGCTATAACACAAGAAAAATTCACTAATGTAGATCGCATTACTACATTCTCTATGTTTTTCTCTGCAAAAACCGATTACCCGTTTAGATTACTTGATAATTCTTAATGCTGATGATATCTGATGTAGTAAAATGAACGAAAGTGTACTAGACTATTCTCATCATGGAATGGAAACATCTGCTACCATTCAAACTATATTGTAACCAGCCAACTTTCTTTTCCAGGGTACCGAAACTTACATTTACGAGTACGATTGGTTAGGAAGAGCCACAGGAGTGATACTGCCCAGCGGGGAAACCCTGAGACTTGGAGCCATGATATCCAGCGGCGGAAGTCTGAAGATATCTGTCAGTGAACCATCAACTGTTTTGAGTGTGTATGGAAAAAGAAACAAACACGTGTTGATAATTGACAGTGAGTATACTTTTTATCATCAACGGTTTTCGGAAATGTTAAGCTGACAAATATATATGTGTAGTCAACATGTAACTTTCAAAGGAATAATTTCCTTCTTCAAATAAAACTACTAGTGTACACAACTTGAAACCCAACTGAATCAAATCGAATTTCATTTGAAGTGAAATTAGAATTCTTTTCTTCACTTTTTAAGAAAAAAACTGAGTGTTAAACAAAAACCACGTACAATTGATTGTATTATATTAACAGTCCATTTCGACAGACAAATTGGTTCTTTCCTGATCTACTTTTGTTTCTTAACAATTATAATTTACCGAAGGTATGGAGGTGAATTTTAATTTTTGTCAAAAAATATTTATTAATTCATCAATTTCCATTTTGTCCTCTCAAAGATATAATACATTGTGCTACAAAAAATATGTCTTTCAAAGTATAAATCAAAAAGTCGTTTTTATTCATTGAATCAATTTTTTTCCGTAGATATATAATACCTCATTATATATCTCTTCAGTTTAGTGGCAGAATAATTGTTCTTCAGGTATTCTAAGGTTTCAATTCAAAAGTAAAGAGAAATGGATTTTCATCAGCTCTTCTGTCTATTCGAAAGATTTCTAATAGTTTCATTTTACTGTGAGGTTCTCATGTCACTTAGAATTGACAGTATCAGATATTTTCGACTGTTTGTATGCATTTTTTCTCAAATAAATTGAAATACTCATGTATGTTTTGAACAATAAATCAATGGCAATCATTTCAGTAGATGGTTCTGGAAATGACAAATTGTAAATACATTTGTGAAGTTTTCAAAGGCTTTGAAGTCGATTGTGTGACAATATGCCAAACAGAAAACGAATACTTAAGTTTTGAATACGTAAAAGACAAATAAATTATTTTTAAATACTCCAGTTATGAGACAGATCTTAACCTATATGAAAATATCTCACTTTCTATTCGATTTTGCAATTCACTTATATTTCTATCAAAATATATCAAAATTGAGTCATCCGCTAATAATTCAACATTCAAATTTCATTTTGATGTTGAATTCATGTAAATCAGAAAAAGGGTAAGCCCAAAATAGACCCTTGAGTTTCGCCACATGGAATGCTTCTCATCTGGGATTTGAATTGAAACTCTTTGAAATTATTTCCTTTCAATTATTTGAGTTGAATTATATTATTTACCATATCAAAAACTTTGGCCAAGTCCATTGATACAAATCGTAACTCTATTTTAATAAATGAATCCAAAGCTGCAAGCTCAATATCACTAGACTTGCGAGGGCAACATTGCCCACTATAAAAAAAAGTATAATTCTTTCTTAATTCTTCAAAAGACATTTTTTTGT